ACATTACACCTACCTCCCTCTTTCCTTGCACTTCCCACTTCCTCGTGGGGACTTTAATCCAAATTGGCTCTGATGCCTCTCTGACATCCGTGCTTTCCTGTGACAGATTGGTGAGTTTGCTCGGCCGCAGAGAGAAAATGAAACACGCCGAATGGCCCTGAAGCCGCTTGTGAATTATTCATGACGTGCACGTGTTCCCACTCGGCTTAATTACTGAGATGATTAGTGCGCCCAAATAGCAGCGACATCCTAAACCCCCCACCACCTCAACAAATCCTCCACAGCTCATTGCAAACATTCCAGCATCCTCTCTACGTTAATGTTGCATGGTGCTTTTATTTCGACTGTCCCTGAACAAGCTTGAATGTGCTTTGCATTGATGTAAGTGTTGTTGAGCACAAACTCTTATAAGCCTCGTAATAGTTCTCATCAGTCACTCGGAAATCACTTCATGTTGGCCACACTTTATCTGCTCTCACGTAAACTGCAAACATTAGCATGCTTGGCTAACTAGCTTAGCAGAGCAAGATTATACATTGGGCCTAAAGCCCAACTTTAGGCCCAATGTATAAGAGTGGTATAGTGTCTTGTGTTTTTAGTCTTACCAATTCTAAAAACACAAAATCAGTATCATAAGGAATGGATTAACTGTGTGTTTTGCTAACGTAAACTGCGGTCTTTAGCATGTCCAGATAACTAGCGTCCTCCGAAGGATGCGGCCGCTGGATTGAGTTTTCAGTCAACTGAATTGGCAGAAGCTAAATTCCGACCACTCAAAGCGCTTTAACACTACATGTCATTCACCCATTCACACCATAGACTGTATGTAAGAAGTGGACGTACTCATCGTGACGTCATCCATTGGTTTATGGACTGCCGTTTTGAAGCCTTGAGTTTGGCGATTTGGCCGTCGCCATCTTGGATTATGGCCATCAGTTAGCCCACCCTAACGCATACTCCGCTTTATGGTCTATTTTACTCTAAATGAACCATAATTTACTAAATGAACATCAGTTAGTAGTATTTAGTTTACAATGTTTACTGAGCGAATAAATCAGAAGTAGGGTCATTTTCTCATAGACTTAAATACAATAGGATGTCTCTTTGCAGAACCAAAATGACCAGTAGAGAGAATGTAAGTTTTAAGATGCTTCCGCATTGACTTCACTCGGTAGAACCGCCGGTTGAACTTGGGGATCGAGCCGCCGAATTCCTGATTGGAAGACGACCTGCTCTACCTCTGAGCTACAGCCTCATCCATCGGCTTTAGCTACAGCTTGTCATTTCTACAGGCTATTTGTTAAGTTACCGTCGATCTTATAGGCACAAATAAATATAGAATTAAATAGAAACAAAGGACCACTTAAAATGAAGAGAAAGGGCTACGTAAAATGTAAATTATGTACATAATGCTACAATATATAACATAATATATGAAGAGAACATAAGTTAATAATACTAAATTTAGAATGACAAGTATAAGGAATATGTCATCAAACACATACAACATACAACCAGTGCAAACAAACAAAGCAAACAAAAAATGCTGAGAAGTCTGTTAAGTGTGATAAATATAAATGCAAGAATAGTGTAAGAGATAAATGAGAATATTTCTTGAAATGTACAGTATAAATGCGGTATTAATGGAAGCGTAAGAAGAAGCTGGATTTTCTACCTGTGTCTACAATCAAGAACTCATTGTTTCAAAAATGACTATGAATTTTTAGGGTTATACCTTCAATGATTATCACTGTGTTGCGTGTGTCAAATCTGTCGAACTGGGAAGCTTTTGGTGTGTGTCCCATAGTGCTCTTCATCCCATTTGTTGCTGAAGTCTGTCTTTCCATATGCCGACCTTCCGGCCATGGCACTGTAGTCCCCACCAGGCAGGAAGTAGCCGTGAGCTGTGCAGAAAAAAAAACAGCCTCTGTTTTCATGGCACGTTTTGACCTGGTTTTGAGGACTGAGCTCTGCAGGCTCTCGGACAGACTCTGCGGAAAAACGCCTCCAGACAATCAAGTGCTTTTCATTTCATCCGCTCTGTCACTGCACGCATACTGACTGTTAACTGGGCGAGGCGAAGGCAGGAGCTCCCTCGACGTCCATCGCTGTATCACAGAGAGGAAAATGAGAAAGCTGACCGAGAAAATGAACTACAATTTAGGACAAACTGAAAGGGCAGGTGTGAGTGACTCGGCTGATATGTAATGAAACCGCCAGAGTCTGAGGGATGACTTGAGTTTGATTTGCAGGATCTTAAAACAATGAAGTGAAATGGAGACTCAGAAGTGGTCTCATCTCAGAAGGAGATGGATGCGATTTGTGTGCTTTTAAAATGTCTTCCATTCACATGTTTATTATCCTCTTAGGTAAAATATAAAACATCATAAAAGAATAGTGCGGCCTTTCGGGAAATACACTTTTGTTTTCTTGCCGAGAGTTAGATGAGAAGATCGATACCACTCTTTACTTTAAATATGAAGCCAGCAGCCAGTTAGCGTAGCTTAGCATAACGACTGGAAACAGGGGGAAACTGCTAGCCTGGCTCAAATTTGCACATTATATCTCAGTTCATGTTTATATTTATTATGTCTCCTTGTTTAAAAAAGTCACTGCACCCAAGCTGCAACTTGTCATTTTTAAACTTGTTTGCAAAATTGAACAAATGAGAAGTAACAAGTTAATAAGTTATATTGATTGTTTCTCACTGCACTTGGATTTAGATCAGTTCCTTTACTGCTGAAATAATTTCATTGATTGACAAATATTTTGGTGATATAGTTTGTTGCATATTGTTCCCAAAAGTTTGATAATGAGCTTCCATACTCAAACTCTGTTGATTAATTGGTGAAGCCATTTAGCGAGTAAAGATAGTGAAACATTTGTTGGTTTCTGTTTCGTTGCTGCATTTATCAGTTGAATAGCTTGTAGTTTTAGATGGTCGGTCAGACAAAATAAGCAATTCAAAGATATCACCCTGATTTCCGGGTGCTTGTGACAGACATTTTTCATTATTATTTTACATTTAAATGATTTGATAGTGAAGACCTCATTACCTTTAAAATCCATCTCCATAAAGGCCAATTTGTCCTCTGAAGTCTGTACATAGGCTTTTGAGATGTCTTTGTGACAAACAACCTAACTCGGGAGAAAACGTCCAGCTCATATCTTTTCATTCCTGGAGGTCTCTGGGGATGTTGAAATAAGAGTCCCAAGTTAACAAAGGGGAAGTTTCTTCCGGAAACGTTTACATTTCAGTCTTTGCTCAGCTGTTACCGGCTCAGACCGTCCCTTGGTGCAGTAGACTCGTGTTAGCGGCAGCTGTCATGGTTTCCCAAACTCTGAGGTCAAAGGTCAGCTGTTGGCCCCCGCAGATAGATTCCCATTCGACCAGCTTACGTCAGATGCCAGGAGCTGCGTTGACACAGAGTTGTTTTCACAGTGTTTTTCACTGTATCAGCTAGTTCCAGGTTTTATTGCTCTCTTCCGGAGTGGAAGTGATTTTTTCTGTTTTCTTTTTGCCCATCACCCTTTTTTCCTCCCAGGAGACAATACCCTCCCCAAGTTGACGGTTGTTCACTCAACCGTACAAGGTTCCCACAGGGTCAGGCCGCGTCCTCTCGCTCCGTCACCTCTTTGTTCACACAACCTCGCTTCACATACATGAACACCCTCTTGTCTGTTCCCCGCTATCCAAACAGGAGCATTTGTGTGTCATCGCACACATCCAAAGCAGTGGTATTTCCCATCACATGTACAGAGCTCTGCTCCACATGACCAGGGACTGTAATCCAATAATAAAACCATGCAAAAGTCAAGGGCTTTATTGTCCATAAATCGTCTTAGTTTTAGTTGGAAATGCCATTTTGTGTGTGAGAATAAAGCCGACAGTTTATTTGGTCTCAGGGGCGAAAACTTTGACTCTTCAAAATGTCAGTTTCTCAGCAGCGATGAAAAGCAGCTTTGTTTGTGAATTTCAGTTCATCCAAAACTTAAAAATTGACAAATTCAGAGTTAGGTGATTTTCACAGCATGACGGCTGTATATATGATGTTTATACGTCTCACATTTTGAACTTACCAGGCCACACTGGTCTGGGAATCTGCATCTAAAATAACTTAAGCTGCTTGGAATGTCCTTCTGTGCTGCCTCCATGTGTCTTTCCTGTCAATCTCAAAGGTCTCATTTAATAAATGTCTCCTACACATGCATGAAACAAGATGTGGGGTTTATTTAGGAGGACTTGAGTTGAGAGTTAAATAGTAAAAAACTACAAAAACCTCCTTCCCCACTTACAAAGCATGGGCCTTTGGAGTGGGAGAAAGCTGCCGATAAAGCAGTTACTGGGGTTGCAATGATTATTATTATTAATAGCGATTCATTTGCAGATTATTATGATCTTGATTGACTGATGTTATTATTAATTGTTTGGTCTAAACATTGTGTGAAAAAAAGCCTAGATTAATTTCCTAAACTGGTTTTGACCAACCAGCAGTCCAAATCCCAGAGTTCTTCAGCTTACTATCACATAAAACAAAGAAAACGATATATGATTAGAGGGGTCGGCTTAAATGCCCCGAAACATAACATTACTTTTTATTAGATTAAATATTTGAATATGTACCTGAATGTACCAAAAATTTATTTTTGTTTTGCAATAAATAGCAGAACTATAAGCTCATAGATATTTATATATGACATGGAAAATCTCTTTTTCTAATTATTTTATTAATTGGGTATGCCACTTCCTGTTGGCTATATTCCTGTTGCAGTATGTCACATAGCTTGACTAACACTGCTGCCCGTTTGAACCCCGCAGAAAGAACCGTCCATGCATGAGTAAATCTTGTCCTACTGATGATGTTTGTTTCTGAGGATTCAGCACCTATTTATATATAATGGAGTGTTGATTTATTCTTATTTAAATGCAGTACAAACCCGTATCACTCCATTGCTGCTGCTGCTTCATCTCTAACGTCCTCTCTCTGTGCTCTCCACAGGGCCAGCTGTCTCAAGCTCTCACCGTGCTGTCGGACAGAGCCACTGAGGCCAAAGAGTTCCTGGTTCAGCTGAGAAACATGGTGCAGCACATCCAGGTACGTAAATACACACAAAGACTTGCAGGCTTTGCGCACTCTTTCTCGACCCCAGGAGCAATGTTACCTGTCTCTCACCCCCCCCCCCCCCCCTCCAGTCTGATCCCAGGCTGTCCACCACGGCACGTCACTGCAGTAATCAACAGAAACAAAAAGGCTTATCGTATTATAACACTGCCTGGAGTTTGGTCATTGTCCAGCCATAGTGCTGCATATGAGAGGTGGAAAATGACACTATTTACATCTACAGTAGGCCATCAAAGTCCTCTCTTTTACGTGCATTTAGAACACATCAACCCTTAAATTAGAGTCAGTTAAGTGGTGAATGTTTTAGTATGATCGATTCTAAAGTTGTACTAAATATATTTATGCTGAAAATGGTTTCATATGTGGACACAGACTGCCACTGTGGACACCAGCGGAGCATTTCTCGGCTGCAGGTTTCAGGTCTTTTGAAGGTGTGAGCGAGGGTATTGATTTGAGTGTACAGTCAGTGTTATCAGATGTACAGTACTTAGTGTAAGCACAATATATTGACCGGGAATAGATTAACATGCTGGACAACCTTCTGCTGTGTGTGGAGACAAAAGCTGCATGCCGTCAGCTGTAGAGGCCGATTAGAGGAGGAAGGTGGGATTAAAAGCCCTCGCTGATTATCGACACACACAGTCAGATGAGGCTCCAGGGAAACCCGTCATGGTGGGAGATGCAGGATAGGAAAGGAGGCGAAGGACGAGGAGATAGTTGTGATGTGGCAAAACAAACTCTACGAGGCATACTTGTACGTACACTACTCACTTCATGATGACTTTATCCACCCACCTCGTTCGATGACGAGCTACTGGAGGAGACGTGTGAATGAAGATGCATTTTTAAATGAAGTATAAATCTTATTATCTCTATATATTTCAGTGTGCTGCTATTAAATTGGATTGCCTAATGGTTTCACTCATTTAGTATCTCCTCTGCTTTTGGTTTTGCGTACAGTATATTTTGAATTGAAAGTTCCGATATATATACTGTATATATATACTGTATATATATATATATTTCGTCTTTTAGGTGCGTTATTCTTTTCAGCCTTTGCCTGTTGTCTTGCAGGAGAACGGAGTGGAGTTTGAGGCCTGTTTGGTGGCGCAGTGCGACGCCCTCATCGACGCCCTGAACCGACGCAAGGCCCAGCTGCTGTCTCGAGTAAATAAAGAGCACGAACACAAACTGAAGGTGAGTGAGCACGACCAGACAAAGTAACATCCAGTTCATCTCAAAATGTCAGAGATGTATGGGGGTGGTGTGTTGTGGTGTAATGTGAATATGGCTGTTTTTGCATTATTAAACATTTGGGAAGTGGAGCTGGACTTTCAGATCGGATAAACAGTCTGCAACAACAACTTAGACCTGACAAAAATAGATGCGACAATATTTGGGATGAATGATGTATTTCAGACAACTGGTGGCTTCTTGATTGGTAAGAAAATCACATCAATACTGGCTCTGCTGAACTGAACTGAAACCATTTGCTACCCGCGAGGACGGAAATTAATTTAAATATTAATGTTAACGTTTTAAAAATGGTAAGCTGTTTCGCATTTTGAAGATTTCCTCAATGCATGTTTAAGATTCAAATGCACATTTTTTTGATTTAGCACAAGAGGTGGAACTCGATTCCACTGATTTCAGAGACATAAAGTGCCACATTTTGTCTTTACACCATCTTCAACACATTGAACGGGAGGACATAACTGAGAGAGGGAGTCAACAGGAGAGGAGGAGGAGGAGGAGGGAGAGATACATTTGTGCTGTACAGCATCCAATTTCACGCTTGGACGCTCTGTAGAATCAAGGTTTCACACGTGTAGGTGGTTTGAGAAACACAGCCTGTGCATGGCTTCATGTGAGCACGCTCATGCACTGACACATATTTTGCTTTCTTTTCTCCATGTATGAAATATTAAGATGTGAGGCATTGCATGGAAGTGCCTCATAAATCACTGACAAACTGAAAAACTCATTTTCATTTAATTCACATTTAGTGACATTTAGCCCCTTTTCTTTGTGTGTTTTTGAGGTTTACATTTTTCTCTATTGAGAAGTTTTATAACTGAATTTTATTTTATTTTTTTCTTTAAACATTTACAAACTGGGCTTAACATTAAAGCAACAATTACATATTTGGGTAAATGTGCTTATTCGGTAAAACCATAACATGTTGTTTCAACACTTTGTATTTTGCACAAATTAAACAAACATGTAATGTGTTAATTAGTGAGGTTTAGAGGTGCTGCTAAGCAGATTTACTTACCTTTGGACAGAGCCATAGAGCTGCTTCCAGTCTTCATGCTGTGATAAGCTAACTAGCTGCTGGCTGTAGCTTCATAGCTGGCGTACAAACATGAGAGTGGTGTCGATCGTCTCATCTTACTCTCGGCAAGAAAGCGAATCGTATTTACCAAAATGATTTCTTTCAGCTTTTTCTGGCATAGCACCATCAGACAGTTGGGCCTAGAAGTGTTATCTGGAGACATGATTGATCCCCTGTCCACAACTAACTATTCAATTTGCAAATTAATTTTAGCACTTCCAAGTTTTTAAATTTAAACATTTAGGGGCAACGACCGAGCTGAGTCTTACCACCATCCCTCCCTCTGCAAAGAAACCAGGACAGGACACACAATGACACTCTGAGCAGTATTTAGCTGCAAATATGCTCCAGTCAACAGAACACGTACGTTTTGCAGGTTAGAAATATAAAACCTCTCACTCTCACAGCACTCGTCGCCTGCAGTGTCACAGCTGTCAAAATTACAGCAGCTATTACTTTTTTTGTGCCCGTAGACGTAAAACACTGCGACATGTTTACAGGCTGCAGCTCTAAACGGCAGCTGTTGGTGCTTTTACTGCCGGTAGGCGGCGCTAGTTGGACTGCAACTGCAGGTTCAGAAACGGCAGATGTGCAGGACCTACTTTTGGGCGCCATTTTGCACGCTCAAAATGCAAACTCTGTTCCGTTAATGATTGGTTGGCTGTTAAGTGATGGATGGGTGTTTAATGTGGGGCATCGGACACAGACGGAGGAATGTTAATGTATCTCAGCGCAGATCTGATCCCTTCTGTCAGCCAACAGATCGGTGCCTCCGTGTGTCGTTCGCTGAATCTTAATGCCAGAATCTGATATTCTTTTTTACTGCCCTGCTCACACACTGGAGGACACGGCTTCCATCGTAGGAGTTTCCCACAGAGTCAGTGATGCAAGAAACTCTCACGTTTCACGTGTTCTGTGCTCCTGGAGGGCAGAGCTGATCGTTTGAGGTAGATATCAGCAGCAGTAACACTGGGGAAGATCAGAGGAGGCACCGCCTGTTGCTCTGGAGTGCACCTCCAGTAATTGGACATGGCCGGTCAACGGGACGCTTTCTGCTTCATTAGCACGTGGCTCAGCATGCGGAAGTCGTCCTGCAGCCGTAATCGAACGAGACACATTTCTGTCCCGCTGCACTCCTGATGTTAATATAGCCCTTTCTGTATTTTCCAGATGTAGCATCTCAGATATGATTTAAAGCAGATTGTTGCATAAAACAAAATGCCAGCTATGCATCTTATACGTGTCCAATTAAGAAACTAACGAAGTGCCCTGATTAATCCTGCTGATTCAGTCGCACAAAGCTCTTTTTATGTGAGGAACCCATGAAAACAAACTCAATTAATAACAATTTAAACTGCTGCAGCTGACTCGGCGTCTCCTTCCTGCTGCTCTCCTCTGGTACTGCACGCTGACGCCAAAGCCCAGTCGCCATGGGGACCGGGACGAGGTGAGCTCGTTGTTTGAAAGCTGTGGAGGCGAGAGAAGTAGTCCTTAATAACGTGAGTCAGCTTCCGTTTCTGTCCTGCACATCAGGAGGACTGACCCGTGCGTTTGTTCAGAGAGAGACGGCAGAGGAGGACGGTGGTTTCATGGCAGTTTGTCACACTGAGCGGTTACAAAAGCTCCTTCACTCAAACATCTGTACAGCGGTGCTTTGCAATTTATAGCCAAGGCAAACCACCAACAACCTTTTCTGGGGACATACTATGTGTACTGAGAGCATGACCTCCTTCACCTCATTTAATATCTGTAGCCCTGTTCATAGCTCATTTTATTTTATACTGGGAGCAATTTTCCAGGTTTTTAGACTGATTTTCCTCTTTTCAGGCAGCCATTTTTCTCACTTTATATCATTAAGCTTGTTGAATTAATACTCCATCACTGTGAACTTTTTGCAGGCGACATTCAGGAGCACGTTGGAATCAGAATAGCTTCGGAATCACAAACTGTCCCTTAAACCAAGCACATAATAATAACACTGAGGAAACATTTTGACATTTTAAAGTCATTCAGGAGCAGACATTTCAGATGTCTGAGCTTTCCACAAGCACTTGAACGCACCAACATTAAGAGCCTTTAAAGCAGGGGTCACCAACCTTTTTTAAACTCAGAGCTACTTCAAGGGTACCGAGTAGTACGAAGGGCTACTTATTTGATACAAACATCCCGAATAACAAAGTTGCACAGATCACCTTTTAATAATAATAATATATGTGAAGAAACTGTTTGATCACATGTCAGTTAATTATTCCTCACAATAATTATTAATTATGATTTCCACAACAATGATGGTATAGCTACACATACATATTTAAACATGCAACTTTTATTTCTGTTAATCTGTTTCAACATTTGGAAGTCAGAGGTATCACATCTCTGATATATTTGTGTCATCACATGATTAAAGCCGGTTACTTTTGCACATAGCGCCTGCTGGTGAATGATGCAGTGGTAATGTAGACATTTTGCGACGTCTGGGTCACCTTTGCATTGCGCAATGAAGCCTGCATGCCGGCCCGTCATCGCGGGAGCCCCGTCAGTTATCACCGACACCAGCTTTTCCAATGGTACCTTTTTCTCAACGAAGAAACCAGTAAAAAGTCTCGTCTATAGCGGAGCGGGGGATCCAACCCTCCGAGGCGCACGAGCGTCTTCGGGCGCCCGCGTTCAAACCTCTAGTCTGGGCCTTTTCGGTTGGATTGCGTTGCCTCGCCTCTACCCCCGCCACCCCTGAGTTGTTGCCCCGCGGCCTGTTCCGAGGATTTACGGACCTGACGACGGGGTGCGCTCGCGGCGCGCGTCTGGCGCGCGTCTGGCGCCAACGGGAAGCGCCCGCCATTCAGAACCTGAAAACCTAGTGCGGCGGCCTCGTCCTGGCTGTCCGCCGTGCGCCTCCGGGTACCCAACTCTCTTATGACAAGAAATATTGTCATTTTAAAATCTACACTAATGCAAGCGTTTTTGATTAAAAAAAGAACAGCAATTACAATTTTAGACGGAGCTCCATGGTGACTAGTGCTATTTTTAGAACATGCGACTCACGTGGTCCCTGCGGGCGACAGGGTGCCCGCGGGCACCGTGTTGGCTACCTCTGCTTTAAAGTAATATATAAGTAAATAGTTACTGAGCATTAGTTCAGCAGATGAGGAAACTTATAAGCATCACGGCTGGGAGCAGAGGGAAGCAGCTAAGAAACAGCTAACTTCTAAGGTTCATTAATTCTTGTTTTTTTTGTGTAGATTACACAAACAAACATATTAATTAGAGCTTCAGAGATATTAGGAGGCAGATTTTGTTGCCATTGGACGGAGCCAAGATAGCTGTTTCCAGTCTTTATGCTAAGCTAACCACCAGTATAGTGTTTTATTGTGGAGAATGTATTAAATATGAACCGAGCCAGGCTGACTCCGAGCCTGGGAGTCAGCAGTGAACTGATGAGGAATTCGTCTGAGGGCTTATTAGAGGAACACAAAGTGAATCAGAAACTAAGCGTCTTCTGCGTTTGCCACCGGATGCTTCGTGCTCCGCACACCCAGCGCGGGTCTTTAATGAGTACAGCTGCATTGAAGCTATTTTTATTTCCACTGTAGTGATTTGCTGACCTCCCTGTTGACTCCGCGTCATTTGACTAACTGTGTTGCTCCAGGGGATCCCTGCTACCCGGATTCCTCCTCCTTCAAGCACTCAAACGTGGGGAACGGTTTGGACTGCACAGAGATGAACTCGGGAATTATTTTAAAATACAGAATGATTCATTTTCTCACCATCAACCGTTTTTATGGCTGCAGTGGGATCTTCAGCAGAGAGGATGAGCATGAAATATTAAGAATGCTGCTGTATTCAGTACGGGTATTATTCATCAGTATTTGTGCTTTTTACTTTTTGTTGATCCACAGAAAACGTTCTTCAGTTCAAAACATTCTTCAATTCAAGCTTCTACAATGTAAATTTGCTGCTTGTCTTCGTTTTATATTATTGTAAATTGAATGTGTTTGGGTTTTGGAGTGTTAGTCAAACTATACAACCATTATATGACATTTTATAGACTAAACGATTAATCAATTAATTGAACTTATCATTGACGCTGATGAACCTGATACATCTGACATTTCCGAGGTGAAGCTCATCTTTCTGTTGCATTTTCTGTGCCTCCGTCTGAGTAAGAGACACATTAATGCCGAGCGAGAAGCGCCTCGATCCCCGCTGACAGCTGAGCGTTTCTGGAAGTGGCCCTTGTCACTTTCTCTGACCGTCACTGCGGCGTGTAACATACAGGAAGCAAAGCAGGAAGTGATTGTAATCCCTTTGCTCTTCTTCCTTTCATCTTGTAACAGTTTGATTTAATGTTTCCCATCACAATCCCTCTTGTCTCTCTTTTTGTCTTCCTCCTCTCCTCTCTTGCTGTTCCCTCTTTCCTCAACCTCCTTTCATCCTCTCCTCTTTTGCTGTTCCCTCTTTCCTCAACCTCCTTTCATCCTCTCCTCTTTTGCCTCCATCCATTTCCCTTCTCATCTTCCTCTTCACTTTCCTCTCCTTCTGTCGCCACATGTCAGTTTCATTTCATCAAATCATCCTCATGCACACAATGTCAAAGTCTCGTATATTTCATGTCAGGGTCCTGGCTGACTGTAAGCCAGCCTGTGCTGCTGCTGTAAAGGGACAAGTTAGGTAAGGTGACTGCAGCCTCAGCATCTTACAAGGCCAAATGTGCCGCAGTGGCCTAATAATTGACACAGAAAAAGATAGGAGTTAATTTATTTCACAAAGAGGCAGCAGGGCCTGCTGACCCACAGTACAATATGTGTAGCTGATTAGATACTGGATAATATTGGCACCTTTTTGAAATATCCTGCCACGTTTGGTTGTTGTCAGTGCCGGCGCACGAATTTGATTACCTCTACCTCTAGATTTTACGACCCACAACTTTACTGCTTTGGTTCAGTCTCATCGAGTTTTCGGCCCCAGCAGGTAACCGTTTTTAGTGGAAAAAGCTTTAAAAAAAAACTCTGTACACTACCTGCTCAGCGTCAAGAGGTAAACAGACACAGTTAGAGACTAGCTGGTGAACATAGTGGAGCATTAAGCAGCTAAAGAGTCAGATACTTCCCTCTGGAGTTGGTGGAGACCAAAAACTGAGCTAAAAGAAGACTAAATATTGGTAAATCCAATATTTAGTCTCCTGCATCATGGTTGCCAGAAAAAAACCTCCAAATGAAAGATTATACTGCTCTGTTTTGCTAACAAGTTTGTCATATCAACTTAAATATTGATAGTATTTCAATGTTGTGTCCACTGCCCCCAGGTGGCCTAAAAAATGTTTGGTTACGGTCGGTTTTAAATAGAAAATTGTCATGTTTTAGCAGCTCCTTTGATAACAAGAGTAGTAACATGCTTTAATGAGTAAGAATACACTTCTCATCTGAGTCCTTGGATGAAGAAATGTAACGAAAAAGCTTCTGTTCCAAACATGAATAATATCTGTAAAGTAAAGCATGTTTTCAGCACTATTTTGCCTTCTTGTTGTTTGGGGTCGTTTTGGCATCGCTATGGAGCTACTGGTTTAATCACCTTACCATGACAGCCACATATGTCATCAGAGGACAGAGTTTGTTTCCGCTCGTTAGCTCCGTTCATCTCTGCTTCTGCAGAAACTGTGGCCCACTTCCACTGTCCTGCACTCACCCCTCTCTCTCTCCCCCTTTTAATTCATTACTCCCACATCTTTTCTCTCTCCGGATGCTTAGTTTCCTCCCACCTCAAGCTGCTGCCGTCCCTTCTTTTTGTGTTTGATTCAGGTGTACGAATCTTCCTCACACTGATTATCCACCGATCAGCGTTGTTGCCGCTGGCAGCTTTTTTTGTATCTTATTCCAAAGCTGAATAACAGCAGATTTCAGGAGAAGATGACTGGAATGCTGAGAGAAGCTGCTCAGTAGGCAGTGAGAGTCGAAGGAAGGAGCGGGGAAAAGGACAAGATTTGGTAAAAGTTGTCTGCAAAAACCCTCCACACGTATTGTCCTCTATGAATTAACAGATTGTGATTCCAGCTGCGTTTGGAGGAGTGACAGAAAGTCTGATTGTTAAACAGGCAGCGACAGCAGTGAGAAACTCTTCCTGGATCCACGCCAGGCCACTGCAGGGCTGAGGATGTTCCAGGCTTGACACAACAGGGAGGGTTTTGCCCCCAGCCAGAGAAATATAAACCGAATCATCAGAGACGGAATGAGATTTCCTCCCCTCGCTGTACGGGAAGAGAGGTTAAACACGGTCCTCCTCTGATTGATTTCTGCACTAAAAGGGGGAGTAATTAGAAAATGATTAGTTGTGCTCTGTAAATATTAATTTATTTGAAAGTATTATTTTTGCAGTTAATATTTAATCCTCTCAGAGTCCAATCAGACCTGCAATTTGTTTTATTTGGCCATGAGGAAACAGCTGCTGAAGAGGAGATGAGAAGGTCTTTCGTGGTTCAGAAGTAAAATCTTTATTTTCAAGTGTCTCCGTTCAGTTTGTTTGAAGGCGCCTCCGGTCAGTTAAAATTGTTTTTTCAGCTGCCCAAACAAACCAAACTCGGAACAGAAGTTTTCAGTTCTCTGAGGTTTTGAATGAAGCACGTCAAACATGATGTGGTGCCCTCCACCACAAACTGAAAGTGATTATCACACCTCATTACAAACTCATGCTGTGCAGCCAAACAAGGTCATTTGAAATGAAGGTAAACTGAATGTTAAGTGGTTAAAACATACATCGCACTGTGTTAGTGATACTGGTAGCCTAAAGATGATGCTGCAATCAATGTTATATTTGCAATATGATAGAGATTTGTCAAATTTTGCTGAATGTTGAGATAGATATGCTTTAAGTATTTGTGGTTGATTCAGACTTTCAGTGTGCAGGACTGCTTCATAGATATATTAGGTTAAAGGGATTTTTGTGTCAAATGTAATTAAGTGCTTTGATTTGTCACGTTCTTATTTCAGTGAATCAGCCAAAAAGCGGCGTTCACATCGGTTTCCTGATTGAATTTCCAGAAAAATGATAAATCATCATAATATATATCGCTACTGTAATATAAAAAAGTATATACTGTATTGTATCTACATTGCCCACCCATACTTCTCTTGTGTTCTTAATGCTACATACAAGATACTGAATAATCTCTCACTGTATGAAAGTCTTTGCTGTGTGTTGAGTGTCAGTGCTGCAATACTTGCATATTGATGCTGTGACTGCAGTCGTCAGTAAATCATCTTTATGTACTGTCGGCCGTCTGCAGAAAGGATTTTCCTCTCCGCTCAGCCCCTCAGATAGCAACAGTGAAGTTTCTGTTACCTAGCAACCCTTTGGTCCAGCTCCCCCGTTTATTTCCCACCGTTGCGAGGAGGCTCTGTGGACATCAGTAGTGTCAGCAGGGGAGAGGGAATCTCCCAAGTCTTATCAAATATCCCATCAAATCAATAGAATATCTTGGTGTGTGTGCGATGAAGAGCGTTTTTTCCTATTGATTTAAAACTGCTCCCTTTCATTCAGATCATGTTAAAGGAAGATAAATTATGAATGTGGGGGAGGGCTGCAATACAAAACGATTAAAGAACGGGTTTCTCTGCGTTTTCTGAGGCAGAAAAATCTACGACTGACAGCAGAGAATTCAAAAAACTTCTGCATGCTGTTAGCGTGTGGCTGCTCAGGCGGTCTCGTCTCTGATGTAGCCGGTGATGTTTAAACGCGTGAAAACAGAATGTCACTTTCCTTCCGTTAACGTCAATAACAAGTCGCCGGTGTCCCTTCGGCCTCCTCTTCCTCCCCCAATCTGTGTGCGAGTCTCAAGAAGGAAACATTACTCAATCAATCACTTTGACAATCCTGCTGCTAATCTCATTATTGGTATTCCTGCTGCTTGTCTTCATCCGTTAACGGCCTTGTATAATCTGTGTTCTCCAGCCTCCTCCTCCCATCCTCCCTCTTTTCTTTCTCTGTCCTTCTTCCCTCCATTGTCGTCATGTTTTTTTTGCCTTAAGCTCTCTCTGTATCCATCTTTCTTCTCCTCTACTCTCCTTTGTCTCTCTTCTTCCCTCATTTATCAACATTTCTGTCACCTTCTGCATATTTACTCCCCTGTAATTTCTCTGCATCTCCAATCTTTCCTCTTTTTTTTACCCTATTTATACTCTACAGCACTCGCACAGTTTATTAAACCCTCTCTGTGCATTTTATTCATGTTCCACTCGAGAGTGATTACACGAAAAGGTCGATGATTAACATATGATTATCTTCCGTGTATGCTTGTTGTTGTTGTTGTATTATACTTGCAAAACTTGATTTCCTCGTGGCTGTTTCTTCTTTTCTCCCTTATAATCCTCTCTTCTTTTTTTTCATCCTCTTTTTTCCCCAGGTGGTTCGGGATCAGATCTCCCACTGTACGGTGAAGCTGCGTCAGACCACGGGGCTGATGGAGTACTGTCTGGAGGTCATCAAGGAGAATGACCCCAGTGGTTTCCTGCAGGTACGACGCACGACAAGTCTTTGATTCTGCTCGAAGCTATAGCTACAGCTTTTTTATGTGTTTTGGATGGAAGCCTGGCTTCTGAATTAACTTTGCAATTCTGCTGTTTATTCTACTGGCTTGTAAAGCACTGATTGGTTGAGGGCCAAAACACAAGTCTGATCTGCTGCTTCAATATGAACCATCCAGACCTCTCAGATGGTCGTCAAAAACGAAACATGGGGAAGCAACATTTGGTTTTTATGCACCACATATCTGGAACAAACTCACAGAAAACTTGATGTGAAGTAAATGTCAGTGTCAATGTTTGAATCTGCATTTTCATCCATTTTGCCACTTGTGGTGGTAAGTCTGGTGACATGTCTCATAGGGAGGAAAACGTATGTTAAAAAAAAGAGAGAAATTCCTCCTAAAAACTGGTAAATTGCTAGCTGTGAATTTGACTCAGACCCAGTGCCTTTAGATAAATTTGACTTTTTACTTTTTACTTCAAAGTGAAAAATAACTGAACTGAACCAAATCTGAACTGATAGATGACGTTTGTTTGTTGACAGGAGACGTTTTCACTGCCTTTGCTGAGCAATTTCACCTTGTTAAAATCAAACTTACTTGACATCTTCAAGTTCAACAGTTTTATGGTTTCCATTTTTTCTTTTTGTGACTGACTCTGATGAGCAAACACAGTATCACAGTATATCAATGTATGTGCTTGGTGGTGGCATGAGTGGAGAGACGTTTTCGGACACAAATTTTACTTATTTACCTTTTTAGAATGGCCCAAAATCATTTTTCACCCATTATGGTAAAATATTTATAGTGGAAATGCAAGTTTGGTGTTTATGTCAGAAACGTTTATTTTAAACAAGTTATCCTAATAATTTCATGATCATGTCCTTGGACGTTTCCTGGGAAAAGGCATTCAAGAAAATGCACTTTCTTTGAAAAAACAGCTGTCTTTAAACCCAACTAGATATTATTCTTTATATATGTTGGATTGTTTGCTTGCTTGCAGCCATCTTTATATCTTCTTTCACATCTTTGCATCTCCAGCTGATCTGCTGTTAGAGTTTTTTGGATGAAATCTGTCAGGGTTTTCTGGTTCCAGATACAGTTTTTGTTATTGATGAGTAACAGTTAGTTAATTTGTTGTCCTCAGATCTCCGATGCTTTGATCCGGAGGGTCCACGTGACAGAGGGCCAGTGGGGGAAGGGAACCCTCACCCCCAGGATGAACAGCGACTTTGACCTCACTCTGGACAGCGGACCCCTCCTGCAGACGATCCACCAGCTGGACTTTGTCCAGATGAAAGGTATAAGAGAGGAGATAACAGGTACAGACACCTGAAGGATTTATACAAGAGTGGGCTGAAGGAGAGCCGGCACAGCTACGTTTTCTTTAACTCAGAGAGGCAAGTTCAAGCCCACATGAGGGCTAATGTCTTCTCTACTGAAGACAGTAAATCCCTAGCACCCTGTGAAGGAGATTCTCTCTGGTCAGAGTGATTTCTGTTGTGAAAAATCACTATAATATACCATCAGTGTTTGTAGTTCTGAATAGTTGGTTTATAGTAAAGGTTCTGTACTAATTTTAACAAGAGAATTGTTAAAAAATGTATGATAAAACCTTATTGTACCTATATGTTAGTATGCAGTAGCTTTCTAAAATGTATTTCTGGACACTCATAGTTTGCATTAGCAATTTAAAGACCGCTTGTTTTGCATTCGACCTCTTTATCGTTTAAAATCACAATTTTACGAGTAAACATGAAATATATTCAGAGGCAGTTTGAGTTGGAGAACTTGCTGGATGTGTGCTTTGACGTTTGTGTTTGGTACCTGATAAACTTTACACAGCATGATATCTCTGACACCGCTAAAATATTCTGTAAAATACTCAGAAAGTAGAAGACGTTTGGTGGGTTTATATTTATGATTCGGAAGCTTTTGATTCTGGATTCATATATTCATAATTGAATTTATAAATGATAAATATTGAACAGGTCTTCGTGCACAGCAGAGTCATACCACGTGTGTATGTTTTCGTGCGTAAGCGGCTGTCCTTTCATATCTCACTGGGCTGTAATTTTGTCTGTGTCTCTCCCCTCCTCAGTCCCAGCTGCTCCCATGCTCCAGCTGGAGGAATGCTGCACCCAGAACAACAGCGCCACGCTGTCATGGAAACAGCCACCGCTCTCCACCATCGTCGTGGACGGATACATCCTGGAGCTGGACGATGGAAACATGGGGCTTTTCAGGGTAGGTTCCCCTCTGCAGGTACTCTTTTGTCTCCGCCAGTTGGGATTTATCTCTCAACTCTATTAGACGCCAAACTTGGTACTTGTGAAAGCTCAACAAGGGAGGTCTTTGTTGGACTTACATTTAGATTACAAGACACAAAGTGAAAAACAGGACCAGTTAGAGTAATAATTCACCTTTACAGAGCACCGCCCGCCTCTTTCTCAACAAAGACGCCTTCATTTGGCGCCAGGGTGGACACCAGCCCAGCCAAGAGAATGTGAAAGCAGCGCTTTGTCGCTGAAATCCCTCGATTGCTCTCTCGTACCGCACAGCTCTGAGTGATATGAGAGCAGGTCATGTGACGCACTGTAGGGAGGCATTGAATGACTCAACGCCAAGAGAAAGGGTCCGTAATGCAGCTGCCAGCTGGGATGATCCCACAGGAAGTGTGATCTGGGATCAAAGCAGTATTTATACCCTCTCAGAGGTTCACCATGTAATCCATCCAGCTAAGACTCTCCCCAGTTCTCTATACATTGAGGCTGCCGCTTTGTTACGATGGCAACTTAAACCCCCTGAACAATACCTTCAATACAATGGCAGAGGATATCTGTGTCCGACCTCTAAACCTGTTCCTACATACAGTACGGCAGGCCTGTTGCCTCTCATAACAATCAAAATGGAAGATCGTTCCACTTTCTTAAAGTGGTGTTAAACTCCCTGCCAAGTAGTTTAGATGATCTCAGAAAAACAGCTTGGGGTTTAAAGGGTTAACGGAGCCCTGAAACACACCGGAATCCTAATTGAGCCCCCATATTTCAATCTCAGCCTTCTCCCAAACTGTTGCCATCTTCTCAAAGCTCTTCTCAAAGCTCCTCCATCACATTCCTGTTAACAGCTGGTGGCACATGATTAAAGTGGTTGATTTTATTTGAATGCTCAATGGGCAGAAACACACACGCACACACACACACACACACACATCCAACAGTAGTAACCAGATGCTTTCACTAAAAGATGCCAAAACACAAGATTATAATCTAAATAATGGACTTTTTGGTTCATGGTGTACACAGTTCTGTTTGAATATCCGTCTTATTGACTTTTACACTTTATAGAACAGTAAATAAATGTCAACTTTAGTGCTTTGTGAGGAGGCTGAAATGGGACAACAGATGCTGACACTCCTCTAGACTCAGAGCATCAGTTAGATACTCTCCTGTTTAAAGTGAATGGTCCAGCAGCTGTTCGTAGAGGCATCCTGTGTTTTAATTTAGAAAAAGCAGCCATTGACCTTCAGTCTCTCGTCTCTGAAGCCAGCTGTCTGTTTGTGGGAGCCTTCATCCCTCTGTTTCAATCACAACTGTTGCATTAGAGAGTGATCGTTTACATCCAATCTGCCTACGGATTCACCAGCTGCAGCCGCTGAATGCTGATTGTGCGCATTCGATCACAACTTGTCAATATTGAGGCATGTGCCAGGCTGGCCGAGTGGTTAAGGCGTTGGGCTTAAGATCCAATGGATGTAGTCCTTGTGGGTTCAAACCCCACTCCTGGTAGTAAGTGGATATTTAAATCTAATTATGTGACTTGTGAAGTACATACTACTATCATGCATAGATTGTCTTGACAGATAGAAGTTTCTAATGACTTGATGTGGTTGAGCAGTTGGAGCATCACACCCTCCTGTCTGCATGTCTAAATAATGATACTGAACCTGTAAATGCTCCTTAAGTCCACCAGTGTGTGAAAGAGCATTATATTTCCCTGATTAACAGTTTGAAGACTAGAAAGGCGCAATATAAATGCAGTTCAGTCTGACATTTGGCCGAAATTGTAACTGTTAACCTGGGATTTACAGCAGAAATATACGAAGAGCACATTTTGGAACTCAACATATGTTCTGTTGTGTGTTTCATTCTTCCAGCCTGTGCATCTCTTTATCTTGGACTTAAATCATTTCATACCTTTATCTGGAGCTACATTTTGCCAAACAACTATTTACCTTCCAAACTTCCAAGTTTTCTATTTCTCCTCTGACTCATTGAGGCTTTCCAACGCAGCGCCACACTGAGCCTGGCGAGTTGTATGTCCCCGTGTCTATTTATACTCCGGTGTGGGCTGCCTCGCCCACGCTCAGTTGTATAAACTCATACTCTCGCTTATTTCACTCACCGCCACAGATCCAAACGGGACGCTCCTTCAGAGGCAGAGCTGTGCGGGTTGAAAAAGAAGCAGGACCCTCTGTGTCATAATTACGCACTTGATGTATCTGCCACCTTAACAGGAAGCACTGTGTGTGTCTTTGCAGGAAGTGTACGTGGGGACGGAGACCATCTGCACAGTGGACGGGCTCCACTTCAACAGCACATACAAGTCCAGAGTGAAGGCCTTTAATGCCAGTGGACTGGGCCAGTACAGCAAGACTCTGATCATGCAGACCTCTGAGAGTACGTGAAGCATCATCTCCTCCTTTTGCTGCTGATAACTTTGTCTTTAAGGAAAATACACTCTCAAAACAGAATTCATTCATTTATTCATCTGTAATAGTAAAATTGTCAGTTTCCACGAAGTTGGAATCCAGAAAGAGCGGAGACTCAAGTCTGTGTTGCCGACATATCTGCCGATAAGATAGTTTGTCCTCCCGAGAGCGCTCACACGCTTATCTTTGCACTGTAAAATATCACGCTTACTATTTATCTTCGTCACAATTATTTGAAATAACAAATCTAAGGAATCTCTATCAAGACTAGTTGGCTTATATATCATTATCTTTTCTTTTCACCCTGTCACCTATGAAATCACATTCCTGTACAAATAAAGTTAAAGATGTACATGAAAGTAGTATCTGTTGAATTGTGGTGTCACACAGGACGTGAACACTGGTCTCCTGGGTGAGAGTCTTGTGTTTGTTTAACCCACCATCCCCCCGATCAGACCTCTTTGGACTGTGACTGGAAATTTATTTGTTATACGTCAAAAACAAATGTAGTCCGGGAGATAATAAATTCCCTCAAAATGTAAATCACATGTACGTTTACATGTCAGCAGCACTGTAGCATGTTAAATAAACAACTAGAAACAAAGAGACGAACGTGGCTAGATATACATCTCTACTGCCAACTCTAAAATGAGTTTTGTCACAAGTTATCAATGATTGTTTCTTATTTTCCAGCATGTTTGCTTCTCCAAATGCCTGCCACATGTTTGCTACTGTGTCCATGTGTTTCCCAGGTAGTTTCAACTCTTTTGTTTAGTTTTTGCATGATCAGATCCTCAAAAGGTTTCTTGGTTATATTTCTATCATGATGAATCCAATCTGATTTGCCATGATGTTGTGTTCTAGCAAACAGCTGGCAGGTATTTAATAATATAGCTTATTGTCACTTCATGAAATCAAAGACTTGAGAAAAAGTTCAGTTGCCTTCTTCTTTTGGGAGTGAAGCGCTTATTCACAGCAATACATCTTGACTGAGCTCATAAAGATCTTAAGAATAATAAATAGTTGCTGCCAGAACAAAACCTTGCATCTTCAGAAAGACAACTTTTAAAGGAACAGAGACCTTACTTGGTCCCTTCTTCTGCAATTTCTTACTTCAGATTTGAAACTATGCAGTTTGAGTTTTAATTATGTGTTTCAAAAGGATTTCAATTGACCTGACATCAAACTTCTCAAAAATGTCAACGCAAGGTTTTAACCCAAAAGCAGCAGCAGGAAGTGAATTCTGTTTGAGGGTGTGTTCCAGCTTGTAAACCAGGTACATCCCGTAGCAGCTGCTTCGTGTATAATCCACTCATGTGCTTGCTTTCCCATTAGTTAAAATGCTGCTCTGCACACAGGGACGCTTGTCATCCATAAGTGGACCTGAAAGGCCCAGACAGCCTCCCTACCTGCCAGACAGAGCACTCAGCAGCTGTTGGGGTTCTGCACAAAGATATCTAACCACTCAGTGTTTTTGCAGAGATCTGACATCCTTCACCCGGACCAGACTGTGCTTTGATTTTTCTGTTTTATTTCCTGCATGGAGCGAAGGAAGTTCCTCCATCATCTTTGTTACCACGCTTGTTATTTTCTACCCTGATCTGTTTCTAGGAACTTCTCTTTGAGGATCTCTTCTGTGGTGTTTCGGCTGATGAGTTGAACCAGCTTCCCTAAACAAACCTGCTTTTTACCCTTTCCTCCATCCCTCCCCGACCCGCTCTACACTGTCTGCTTCGCTACGCTCTCCTCCTTCTCCCCTCTTTTCTTTCTCCCCTCTTCCTCTTCCTCCTCCCCTTTATTTCACATTTCAGCTGGACTCCCTCCATGTGATATTCAGTCTATAGGCACAGGTATGGGCGACTGTTTCCACTCTAATCCCCCTCGTTGCCATTCCCTGTGTCATCAGTTCAGTGCTTCACTCTCAAACCAGCAGGTGGGCAGTTTGCTGCTCTGTGGGCTGTACTTATTAAACGTTCAATACAGGCTTCTAATAAATGTCTTTGTTTTATTTCCTTTGGGAAATAAGGCTGTGTAATGAAACTTTACTGCACATAGTGAAACCAATGAACGATGGTGGACAAGCAAGTCCTGTGGAGCCCATATATATAGAGCACAAACATCTCATCTGTTAGACTCCCATATTTCTCTGTGTAGAGTATAGAGCTTTTAAAAACCCTCAGTCAAACAGTTTGCAAAGTTATGAGACTTTGATTTCGCCGGCTGGCTGTGTGATGTGTTGCAAGAGCTCACAGGACGTTTTAGGGTCAGCTCACCCAAATTACAAAACCTATAATGAACATGAAGTGAATTTTTGTGGTGCATAAATTAAAGCAGTATTAAATGTTTTGGTTATTTGCCACTTGGGGGCAGCGCAACATGTTATATTTCATTATTATATTATCATCCTATAATGTTTATGTGGTGAACAATCAGCACTTTCAGTAGACATAGAACAGCATCATCATTCAAGTCAAGTACATTTTATTGAGATATAAATCCCAACAGACATTATCTCATGGTACTTTTCATCTAAAGCAGGTTCAGACCGTGCTCTTTAATTTACAGAGACCCAACATTCCCCCATGAGCAAACATTGAGCAGAACCAAGATGATTTATTTCAGTTGTTTCCAGATTTTTATTTTTTATTGTTTCAATTTAACCTTCATTTATTGAGGATTCAGATTTAAATTCTATTTTCGAAAGGAGTCCTGGCCAAGACGGCAGCATGAAAGTTTATCGTAAAATCACAAATAACAAAAAAACAGCAAAAAGTTAAAAACATCACAATAATTTCACATAAGAGAGACAAGTAACAGACTTAAAACAAACAGCAAATTGCATCAACCAATACATTAGTATTAGTTGTTGAGTGCTTAAAAAATAATCTAGTTTAAATTGACTCTGTAGCTGGTGAATGCAGATCCATCATAACCGACCACATAAAGACTTTAGGAGTAAGAGTTAAGATTTCTTATTTTATGTCAAATGTTTACCTCCAAGGAGTTTTCTTACAATGTTTTTCTTTTGTATTTAGGGTGAACTGATCCTTTATGATCAGAGAGAAACCAAGAAATTATTAACAGACCTATTTCAAAGTCAATTCTTTAACAATTGACTTATTATCTAGATGTCATAAACCCCACCCGTGTGGTGTTCCAAGCCGGTTGAAAACAAATGCCAAATATCATTTGCAGACTGTCTGACACAGGTTTGATTTTATAATAAATAGTATTAAGATTGTAGGACTAAGTTATAAGTTAAGTTATAGAGTATGATGCTAAGAATTATTAATCATAATAGTGATAGTGAATCTTCTTCTCCTTCTTATCTTCTTTCTTCTAGTTATTACTCCTTTCATGACGTTTTTACAGTGTAACCACACCTCATCTAACCTCCAGCCTCTAGATTCATGTCACCTTTGTAAAGTCATGATCATCAGGTGTTGCAGTCAGTGACATCACTGATGTTAAATAACAATGTGTGTAACTCTTCCCGTGTGTGTGTGTGTTTGTGTGTGAACAGTCGCTTGGTTCACCTTTGACCCGGCCTCCGCTCACCAGGACATCGTCCTATCCAACGACAACCTGACGGTGTCCTGCAACAGCTACGACGACAGGGTGGTCATGGGTAACTCTGCTTTCTCCCGCGGCGTTCATTACTGGGAAATGACCGTCGATCGCTATGATAACCACCCGGACCCGGCCTTCGGGGTCGCTCGGGCCGACGTGCTGAAGGACGTGATGCTGGGGAAGGACGACAAGGCCTGGGCCATGTACGTGGACAACAACCGCTCCTGGTTCATGCACAACAACTCACACACCAACAGGTAGAGAGTGTCTCCATGTCCACTGCTAACACAGAGTTTAGAGGCGTCTTTTGAGAGGCATATGAAACACAGTCACAGTGATGGAATAATTATTCAGATCCTTTATGAAACTTAAAAGTACCAATACAACAAATTAAGAATACTCCATCACAAATATGAGTCCTGCATTCAACTGAATACATAAATGAATGTGAATTGATTTGTGTTTGTTATCTACTAATAAAGACCATTAGATGCAGCTGAAAGCTCCAGGAACAGCTAGTTCCTGGAGCCCCCCAAAGGATCACTTGATAAATCTGAGGGGTCGTAACAGGATTAATGGGGTAAAAGAAAAAAGAAGAAAAGTTCTGCTCCCAAAATTAGACTTTTCTCTAACCTTTGCTTTTATGTGAAACATGGACAGTTTTACACTCCAACAGATATTTAAATGAAATCATCTGAGAAGTTTGGAGGGTAAATATCTCTTTGGTTTAACTACTAACAACTCATACATCTGACACATGACACAGCTTCTTTTTAACGGGTCACGACCCAAAAAGGTTGGGAATCATTGGTTTAATCTTTAACAATGTTTTAGTATTTCAGACATTTTTTATATATTTTTAAGTCTTAATCTGAAAGGTAGTCATCAACTCAAGGTGTCAAATAAATGAAGAGGAATAAAAATTATTTTTTTTGTTTCTGAAATGCCAAGAATTACAAGTACCGTATTTGAGTAAATGTATTTTTCAGCACTGCTAACACATAACAGTTACAGGACGGGAGGACAAATATTTAGCAGGATGTTACTTTAGAAACACTAGATTAACCGTCATATCTCAAGTTAGTTTCTCTCTGTGTGGTCGTGCAGGACGGACGGCGGGATCGGTAAAGGAGCAACAATAGGAATTCTACTGGACTTCACACGCGGGATCCTCATCTTCCTCATTAATGATGAGCAGCAGGGTCCAGTGGCTTTTGAAGCCTTGGAGGGCGTCTATTACCCCGCTATCAGCCTCAACCGAAATGTCCAGGTACAGAATGATATTGTATATGAACTGTGGCTACACCTTTAATTTCAACTACGTCCATTTCTGAATTGGAAGATTGTGAAATTAATTCCATAACATACCGATTTCTGCTTTTGTTTTCCCTCAAATAGCTTTAAAGGAATAGTTTCCTTATAAAGATTGATACCACTCTCGTGTCTGTGTTTGTTAGCTTAGCTTAGCATTAAAACTCTGTCCAAAAGATCGACAAACTGGAGTTAAAAAACTGTGCAGGGAGCCAGCCAACTATCTCTTGGCCAGGACCAGTTAGCAGGCAACCAGCGGAGACTGCAGGAAGTTACTGGTCGCAGCTAAGAGAGAGAGTCCTGCACAAAACAGCAATTGTTTTTTACTCTTTGGTTTTCTTAGGAATGAAACACATCTGTCTTCGCTCCGGGGGTGGGGGGGGGCAGTTTTATAGCTGTCCCTGGCTCTCCCTCCCCGAGCAGTGCTGCAGGCCAAAACAGAGGTTTTTACTTGTAGATCAACAAAATACCAAATGAGTAGTTATTATTCATTAAAACTTCTTCTCCGAGCTATACAAATATGGGCTCAGAAGATTAAACCTTGAAAGAGGAAGCTTCAAAGATTCAATAACAGTTAGTAGCTTTGAATTTGTCATTGCTCTCAGCTAGTTTTCTAATTTTTAATGCTGTCTCTGGGTGTAGATAGCAGAGTGCCTCCAAGACAAAACATTTAACTCACTGAGGAAATAGTTCAACAGCTCCACCTGTGGGCAGAAAAATAAATCAAAACCTCTTTAACCCATATTCATTAACCCATATGTGTGTACGTCAATGTGTTTTTCTGCAGATCACACTGCACACTGGTCTACCCATCCCTGATTTCTACACCACCGGGGAGGCAGATCCCACTGGCTCTGTGTGCTAAAGACTCACACCGGCTGGGGGAAACCTCTCCAGCATTTGCCAGGGTTCATCATGCCAGTCAATAACTATGACCCAACCTTCACCTCCTCTCCCCACCTCCTCTTGTCCCCCTGACCGACTGACCCCATGACTCTCTGTAAGAGGCCCCATCCAGTGCTGAGCCATGCCTTTATCATGCCGAAACCTTGGACACTTGGCCCATCTGCAGGACAAAAATGGGCCCTGCTTTATCTGTACCTTGTATTTTTGACCTGTTGCGGATAATTGGAGGAGGGGAAATCCTGTTGAAAAATAATCTCACACTCATAGACCTGGAATTATATGCAGTGATAATATCTGCTTAAAGCTATAGTTTGACTTTTCGGAAATTACAGTAATTTGCTTTCTTGCCAAGAGTTAGATGAGAAGATTGACAGCACTCTGGTGTTTGTAAGCTAAATGTGAAGCAACCGTTAGTCAGCTAGCTTAGCATAAAGACTGGAAACAGGGGGAAACAGTTAGCCTGGCTTTGTCAAAAGTTCAGAAACATGTCTAACAACACTTCCCTGGAACCATTATGTCTCATTTGTTTAATCTGTACAGAAACAGAAGTGTAAAAACGACATGTTGTGGTTTTGAGGGCACAAACAATAGTCACACAACAGCCCATAAAACCACAACGTCTCGTTTTTACATTTAGATTTCAAACAAACAAGATATAATGTGTTCATTTGTGAGCTTTAGAGATGCTGGTAGATGGATTTTATTAGCTTTGGAGAGAGCCAGGCTAGCTGTTTCTGTCTGTTTCCAGTCATTTAGCTAAGCTAAGCTAACTGTCTGTTAGCTATAGCTTCATATTTAGCATACAGCCGTAACTCTCAGCAAGGAAGAAAATAAGCATATTTCCAAAATGATTGAACTATTCCTTTAAAGAAAGGAGTTTGTTTTGTGAATGAGTTGAGTTAGAGAAATATTTCCCCATCCGACCATCAACATTCAGCTCAATACATCTTATTCTTCATTCTTTTTCTACACAGTATCCTGTTTGTTGCTTTTCCAGCCATAAACCATGAACATTCTCACACATTTAGAACACCGGAGGGACCACGAGAGGTCGTCTCCTGCCTGTTTGTGTGATTGTGTGTGAGGTGGAGGTGGATTGGTCTGGACTGGTCAGCAGCTGCAATGATCCCTGGACGAGAGCAATAGTCCGACTCTCAGCCGCGTCACTGTCGTATCCTCATCCGTGTACATGAGACGCTTTTCTTAGTGGCTTAGCTCGTGTGATCCTTCTGTATCGTCTGTAAAAAAAAAAAAAAAAAGAAACATGCAGCCTTTCTCTGCAGTGCAGCTCTAAAGACAGGAGGGATGGATTTCGGTGTAATGCATCATGAAAATGGGCGATTCTGTGCGTTGAAGTGTGTTGTAAATGGTTTAAAGATGATGACTGTGAAGCTCTTTGAATAAGGTGCTACAGCAGCTTCGCTTCATTCTGGCTTTTTTACTGTAGGCGACAAAATCCTGGTAGTTTTGTAATATTGTTATTGAAATGATCTATTGCAAAGAGGTGTATAGCTAAATAAGTTATTGATGTTCAGAGTTTTTTCAAAGAGAATTCATTATTGTTCCTTTATTTGATGTATAGTTATTACAGAAGGAAAGAAATCTTTTTTGTCGCTTTAAAAATGTAGTTTGGAGTTTGTTCTCAGACCAGTTTGTGTGCCACTAAAGCAACAGGAAAGGTGATGATGTACTGGGATGTTGTGGCGTCACATTTGGGCAACAGCCTCCTCGACAGACTTCTCCATGCAAGCAGCTCTGTGATGCTGTAATTCGGCACAGCAGTGCTTTGACCGAAACGCTTACTTGATGACGTTTTGCAAGTATAATGTTTACTATGTTCATCATTTTAGTTCAGCATGTTAGTGTGCTAATATTTGCCAATTTGCGTTGCACACAAAGTACAGCTAAGGTGCTTAGTGTCTTTAGTTTTGAAAGGTATTTCATCATAAATCAAAGTATTGAAAGTAAATTAAAATTATCCCAAAGGTTATTACAATGCAACCTGCGGGGGACATGAATGTATATATCAAATGTCATGGCAATCCAACAGTTGTTGAGACATTTCACGCAAAACTACAAATGTGACTGTCATGGTGGCGCTAGAGGAAAAGTCAGGGATCATCAAAGTCATTAGGATTCATCCTCTGTTGACCATGAATGTCAGTACAACATTTTTAGCTGATCAAACAACTAGTTGTTGAGATATTTCTCAGGATAAGTGAGAAGTTTGTCCTGCTGGTGGCACCAGAAGAAAAGTCAGGGGATTAAGAAAAGGATAGGATTCATCCTCTGGGAACCATGAATGTCGAAAATTCATAGCAATCCATCCAATAGTTGGACGAGATGAGATATTTCAGTCTGGACCAGAGAGGTGGACCGACCGATTCACATGGCGGTCCCCAGAGAGTTGTCACGAGTAGGGCTAAAAAGTAACTGAAGTCAGACTGTTGAGAGGTCAGTTTGAGGGAACTGTTGCCCTTCAAGTTGCCCAGAAACTTTTCCCAGTGCATCGTCTCCCTGGGAAGTACCGTACATGTCTAGCAAACACACAAGGTGCTATCCTGTGTGAGCTTCATGGGTGTGCCTTTTCCTCTCTTCAGTACCAACAAGAGATATGAAACTTTGCTACAAACTATATTCATTGCTTCAGCAGAGTCAACTGTAACATCTGTGATGCCTGACTTCACCTGCTGCTACGTATTTTTTCTACCGGCAAAAGGGCAAACTCAACAATAACCATGTTTGTTATGAATATAATAACCACAGTATCGAAGGGGAGATTACAGTCAGGTGTCTTTCTTAACTTTATAAATCCTCTGTGATTTTATTTCCCCTGGATTAATATTGATTGTATATAATCTAATAGTGAGGTATGGCTGCTAAAATGGCTGCACACTGTAAACTATATAATTTTCAGTATGATATGTGCATGTGTTCTGACAGTGATAAACCAAACTACTTCAGCGTTCAGCAACTTGCACGGCCTTTGCTGCAAGGCTGGATACAAGCTTTGATTTATGCAACATTTAATTGGTGGTTTTTCAAGTTGAGCCTTTTGTCCGGCCATAATCATAATAATAAAATTACAAAAGCAGCCCATTCAGAAGAAGGTCACTAGACTTTGATTCATTCAGAGACAAGTGCAGCCATTATCACAGCATTACACAACCTCAGATTCCAGGACAAATAAACAGAATGGCTTTGATTCAGCAAAATAGTTCATCAAATGGATTCTACACATCTCCAGTAGGAGATGACTCACACGTCTGTTACTTTTCAACACAAATTATCTTCTCATTGAACATTTTCTTTGTTAAATAAGTGGTCATATCTTTTGACAAATAACATAAATGTGTGTTTCTGTACTGGACATATGAGGGGGATGATTATAAAAAGTGTGCGATTGTAACATTTATTATTTCTAAACCAGCCAAATCCACTTTATAGATATTAAACTTCGACATGGGGATAATTTAAAGTCCATCATACAGCCTCGTCAAACTTTTATGAATTAATTATAAATTACACACAGTCGCTGGGCGACACTGGGTGTTATATATCCAAATGTACATACATAAATGTGTGTGTGTGTGTGTGTGTGTGTGTGTGTGTGTTACCTGCATTATAACCTCATTTTAACTCCAAAGTGATTCTTTTTAACCTGTTTGATCCGAGGTGGAATGTCATCACTCGCTATTATTATTTACAATGATGCTGAAATATGTCTATGGAGAATTTCATGAATATGAAATGAACATTGTTATAACTTTTATTTTAACACAGCAGGATTATTATGATTATATGTCTATCATTGCCATATTACTGCTATTATTATGATGAACTGAAGTGTAAAATGAGCCTCTGTGTTTTTTTGTATGTGTGAATATTCAATAAATAGGTGTCAACAAGGTCCCATTTTGTCTGTCTGTCTGTATTTTACTGTCTCACAACAGCGAATCAAAGTAGATTTAATGTGGCTTTTTCAGTTGAAACCCCTTCTACACACAGGTGACCCCCATTTTATCTAATTATGGTCTATATATATATCCTTGTATCTGTCTATCCGTCTATCTATCTATTTATCTGTATGTCTATCTATCTATAAAATGTGGGCAAAAAATAATAAGAATATGCGATACAATATGACTGTACGGATTAAAGACTTGTCCCAACTTAACCTGCATAAAGCTGTCAGTCCGTCTTATCTGTAGTCTCTTTGTACACCTCTTCCTGCTCAGCGGGGGCCGGCCGGTGGAAACACCCTCCCCCCTGCACGCACCAATGAAAAGCAACAAAAGGAGGAGACTGCTGCATGAAAATGAGCCACCATCTTACCTTTCAAATTCACTTCCAGCCAGGACAACAACTTGACAGTAAGACACAGGACAGACCCGCTGGCCCGAGCATGGCGACACCACTCACCGACCAGGAGAAGCGCAAGCAGATCAGCATTAGGGGGATTGTGGGGGTGGAGAATGTTGCAGAGCTGAAGAAAGGATTCAATCGTCACCTGCACTTCACCCTGGTGAAAGACAGAAACATTGCAACACCCAGGGATTACTACTTTGCCCTGGCTCACACAGTGAGAGATCACCTGGTGGGGAGATGGATCAGAACGCAGCAGTTTTACTATGAAGCAGACCCAAAGGTAAAAAAAAAAAAACAAATGCAGCTAAACTACATCTCAAACTGTAAATATATATATATATATATATATATA